CCCGCGGGTCAAACACAAACACAACTCCGCGGTTCAGGGACGCGGCTGCCGCGGGCAAGCGGCGCGGACGGGAGGATGTTTGGACCGGGCAGGCGCCAGCCACAAGCTCGCTGCTTCCCTCTCACCCCGCGAGGCCAGCGGGCGGGCGCCGGCAACCTGAAGATTAAATCCAAACAAACACTGAGGGTCGGGAAGGGGGAGCGGGCGGGAGCCGCGCGGCAACGGCCTGGGCTCACACGCTCTTCGCCAGTCAGGAGTCGCAGAGAACCTAGCTAACCTTCACTTCCCTCCCAGGCTGTCGCAGCCGAAGTGGCCTTTCGCGGTAATAGCTGCTCACTGGGGGCTGCCACTGCTCCGCCCCCCTTTCCTAGTTGGCGCCAAACGGGATCCACCAATCGGCAAGCAATCTCTTCTCCTCACCAATGAATGGCAGCCAGGTTAGACCAATGAGAAGGGAAGAAGGAAGCAGCTCGCGAGACTTCGGGAGGTCATCTGCTCTCTGAAGGGGGCGGGGCCTAGGGGAGACCGGAGCAAGTAGAAATGAGACGGGGCTCAGAGGTCAATGAAAACTCCAGGCAGGACCTGCGGGGCGCTGGTCGCGGCTGAAAGGCTCCTCCTGCCGCGCTGCATGCTGGGAAGCGTAGTTCCTATCGCGCGCGGCCACCCCGTCACCTCTTACTCCTGTTGGGCCACCGGGACATTGACCCCTGACCCCCAACTCCCGCCCCACACCCCACATGCCACACCCTGAGGAGGATAGAGAAGGCCATCCGGACCTCTGGAGGCCTGGCTGGACGCAGCTTTGGCTCAGCCTCTAACGGTGCGGTACTATGGACTCCTTTCTAACGCCGGGCCTCCAGGCCCCAATTTTATAAGGAGGGAGGGAATTGAATGACACCCCCCACCCCCACCCCCGACTGGACTGCGGACCACCAGGGCCCAACTTTGGAGCGCTAACAACCTCCGGGCTGTGCTGGCCACATGGGACTTGAACCCTATGGTAATATGAAACGTGCTGTGGGCCTCAGTATTCTTTGCTCACCTCCATTTTACCCCTTATTGTGTTCTCTCAGAATTGTTTCCTTCTTTTCCATCCTTTCTTACCCCATGGTGCTCCTAGAGAGCAGTGCTAATAAATATTTAATAGCTAGTGGACACGATTCCATGTGTGTTATCTGTATTAATTCGTTTAATCCTTACAACTCTGAGAGAGGGATTATTATCTCCATTTTATAGATGACCGTATTTATTTTTATAACCCCTACTACTAGAATGATTTTATAAGAGAGGCATAGGTACAGCAATCAGGCTGCAAAGGATTTGTCTTTAGACAGCGTTTTTAGAGCAAACATATTCTGCTTATTTAGGTTGTACGTTTATTTTCGGTGGCTTAAGTGCCTGGTGGAGATTATGACCACTACCTCTGCTAAGAGCCTACCGTTAAGTTAAATGTTTCTCTTAAAAACTTTGTTTTCGGGCCTGGCCCGTGGCTTACTCGGGAGAGTGCGGTGCTGATAACACCAAGGCCACGGGTTCGGATCCCATATAGGGATGGCCAGTTAGCTCATTGGGTGAGCGTGGTGCTGACAACACCAAGTCAAGGGTTAAGATCCCCTTACCGGTCATCTTTTTTATAAAAAACAAAACAAAAAAATCCTTTGTTTTCAAAGGCTTGTATTATGCAAATAACAAAATAAATATAGTCTTAGAAAATGCATATGAGCATAATAAAAAATAAAAATTCTACCATCTTTAGAGAAATTCAACATTTTGAACTTTCGGTGTGTGTGCGCATATCAATCAATATTTGTTTCATGGTCAAATAAAGCAATGTAAGAGCCTCCCTGCCTAAGCAGGGATTCCCTGAATAGGATCCATCCAAGTGGATTTGTTGGGAAAATAGAATAGTTTGGTCAGGGCCCTCACCTCGGGTCCAGTTGGGTGTGGTTCAGCATCCTTTGTAAGCAAATTTGTGTGTGTGTGTGTGTGTGTGTGTGTGTAGTTAGTATGCATGTGCACCAATGTATCTTTTTAGTTTTGTTGCTATTCTTGTGTTTTTCAGAGAGAGAGAGAAAGAGGGAGAGAGAGAGAATTTTAGTGAAGCAGGCAGGAGGGCGTCTGCCTTGGGCATCTGCCCTGCCTGGCCATGTTTTTTCCAGACCTGCAGCTTCCAAGGACCGTGTGGCCGGTTGCCTAGCTCATAGACCTGTGTGATGGGGTCTGGTGACCCAGCCTGGCGTGTGAAGGGTTTGTGACCCAGTCTGTGAATGGGCTTGAGGTGTCTGGGAGCTCCAGACCCAGCCCTAGCTCAACTATCGGCCCAGTCAGTGCAGGATTACCGGCAGGTAAAAGAGCCTCAATAACTAGTGTAGTCGCCTAGCTTTATGACTGGTGTCACAAACAGGGTTAGTAACTCTACAATTGGCGCTGTGAGCAGGACACGTGTCATCAGCCTTAGCCGTAGCCTAGCAGTATCCTAGCAAGACAGGATTACAGAAACATTTCCACCAGAAAATCCAATTTCTGTACATAATTTGCATTTGTACTAAATTTGCTGGGCGATGAGCTTTGTAGAATAGCATTCTGAGCACAGGCCAAGTCCTGTCTCATGGCTAAATGTCTGCTTTGGGATGACAAACTTTTCTAGCAGAAGCTCCCATCTTTCTTTCACCAGACCTTCCTGAACAATTTCACCCACCCCCAGCATCCTCCGTTTCTCAAAGAACTCCCAAGTTCCTATCTTCAACTGGACTCTCCCTCCTGAACTCTAGCCCCTCATCTGAGTCCACCTAGAATGACCCATTGACAAACCAAACTCTGCTTGCCTCAAGTCGAGTTTACTCTCTTTCTTTCCAAACCTCCTACCTGCCCTAGTCTCCATGGCAAATGGCACCTCCATCGACCCCTCCTTCCTCCCCACTGCTGCCAGGGTTCAGTTGACCTTCCAAGTTCTGAACCCCAAGTGACCTTTCTAACTGCAAATCTGATCTCCTCCTACCCTCTGCTTAAAGCTTTTTAGAGGGGCCAGCCAGATAGCTCAGTTGGTTAGAGTGCTGTGTTGTAACACTAAGGTCAAGGGTTTGGATCCCCACATGAGCCACAAAAACAATTTTTTTAATTTAAAAAAAAAAAAAACCTTTTAGGTATTCCCATTGCTTTAAGCAAAAAAAGCCTTTTAGGTACTCCCCTTGCTTTAAGCAGGGGCTTTCACACATTTTGGAATGACCCAGGACACACACAAAAACATATCAAAAAATTTTCAATACATTATTTACTCATACTACGTACAGTACACTATTTTGTACTTTATTTTATGCCACTTAAAAAAAAAAAAAAAAAGCCTGGCTATGAGCCACTAAAATTAACATATGATGGCTTGCAACCTACAGTTCAAAAAGCACTGACTGATAGGCTGAAGCCCCAAACCTTTGGCCTCAACACCAGATCCTTCACAGTAAGGGGCCTTCATCTCAGGATTCATCTCCTTTCGCTCACAAGCACTCTAGCACCAGCTGACATCCCCCTCTCCCTCCAGAAACCCCAGCCTATTTAGGCCTGTGGGCTGTCACAGTTCACATAGTTTGTGGTCGCTCCCCCACTGTTTAAAATATTTTCCCCTGTCATATCTCTGAAAAGTTTCTTTCCTCTTCTTGTTTTGTCTAGTTTAATACTTGGCTCAATATCTCCATTATTGCATTCATTCATTCAACAAATGTTTATTTAGTGCTTTCTGGAACAAACGCAGTGCTTGAAATAAAAATGTCACAATTTCTACCCTCAGGGAGCTCGTGTCTACTAAGCATAATGATTCTTATAATAATGGAGTCATCACCATGAGAATGACTGCCTTTTGTGGAGTGATGGTGGTGAGCTAGAGGAAAGGCAGAGGAGAAGGCTGGAGCAGAGGGAGAAAGGCAGGCAGAGGGAGGTTAAAGTCGCTAAAGCTGGAAGGTGTAGGTATGGGTTGCTAGAAAAGGGGAACTTGGGAGTGGGGTGCAATGGGCTGCTTTTTAAGGAGAGGAAAGAACCCTCAGATGCCAAGAAGTGAGAAGCAATGCTGTACTTTTTGGAGACTACTTCTGAGTTGCTCCCGCTGGGTCCTAAGATGGGCACATGGGAGTGGCTGTGAGGAATCCAAGTGAGAGGAAAGGAATAGTTCTTGGAAAGTTTAGAACTTGCTCAAGGGTTTAGCCTCTTCGTGTAGACAGTGGAGGGTGTGGAGAGTAGGTGATAACCAGATCAGATTTGCTGCAGGGTGGGTGGGGGAGATTGGGAAGCCTCAGAAACAGAAAAGCTATCCTAACAGTCTGAGAGATCCTGAAGCAAGGTGGGGGCCTCAGCAACTGTAGGAAGGGAGTGACCTTGGGAGCCATAAAGAGGTAGATCTCACTGGATTTTGATGACTGAGAGTTAAGATTGCAGGGGGGTGGGGAGAAAGGAGGAGTCTAGGATGATTCCTAGGCAATGACTCGAGAACCTGGGTAAATGGTAATGTTTCAACAATAGGCAGCACAGTTCTTGGAGGAATTTGGTAAGCTCAGTTTTGTATTTGTGGATTGTCTGAAGTTGATACTCAGGGCAGTGCTTTGGAGTTAATTAGCATGGAGATGGTAATGCTCATTGAGGGTGTGCAAAGAGAGTTTTTAGGAGACTGGATCTGGGGAACACCAGAATTGAGGACTGGATAGAGCAGGAGAGGTCCAAGAGGATGGGGCTGGGGAAGAAATGTCAAAGGAGGGAGTGGTTCAGAGGCACTGAAGAGGAGATCATCAGCAACTGGAAATCATGTTGAGTGGGTGGGAGATGTGGAAGGTGAGGAAGTAGCCAGAGGAAGGCTCTGGGAAGGGAAGAGATGGCACAGAAGGCACAGTAGGGTCCATAGATGCACCCAAAACCACATAAACAGTTTTATTTTTGTTTTTGTTTTTTTTGTGTCTGGCGGGCAAGGGGATCTGAACCTTGATCTTGGCATTACCAGGAATAGCCACATTATTTATTTTAGCCCCAAACAGAAAACAACCCAAATGCCCATCAACAACAAAATGGGGGTGGGTGGTGGTGGTGGGGAACAAAAGAATAGAAAACTAAAAAATAGAAAATAAATTTATTTATTTAATTATTTTTTTTAATATAAAGATGACCGGTAAGGGGATCTCAACTCTTGGCTTGGTGTTGTCAGCACCACGCCCAGCCAGTGAGTGAACTGGCCATCCCTATATAGGGATCCGAACCCGTGGCCTTGGTGTTATCAGCACCACACTCTACCGAGTGAGCCACAGGCGGGCCCTGAAAATAAATTTAAAAAACACAATAGAGTAGGTAAATAGAGGTTCTTTTGCACAACGAGGAAAAGCAAAGTGCTACCCGTTACCAAACTCAAGTCCAGCTGCCTGCCCCTCAAGAAGGAAAGAAAGGAAGACTCAGAAGTCAAATGGTTGGGTTTAGAAAAGCACATTTATTCAGCTGAAGGAGATGGTAGGCTATCCCATCTCAAAGACTTAGATTTATTGAGGGGTTTTTAAATGGGTTGTTGAGGGAATGGAACATGGAAGGTGAAAAGCAGGAGAGAAGGAGACGTGAGCTACGAGGGATCCCTGTCTGTGAGTCAGGTACAAGTTCTCGCCAAGGCCTCAACTGGGTTTTGTCCTCATCTTTGCTGTTATCTCAGGGCCCTGCTAGATTTTGATGTGCTCTGGAGTAGAATCAACTCTTCTGCAAAGTCTTTTTCATCGTTTCACTTTGCAGAGCTCTGGTTGACTCGCCTGGTGCCCAAGATCGTCTGCCAGTTGTTTGGCCTCAATCACTTCTCAAAACTCTACAAATCTGAGAGAAAGAACTATTAGCTTTTCATTTTTTTTTTTTAAAAGATGACCGGTAAGGGGATCTTAACCCTTGACTTGGTGTTGTCAGCACCACGCTCAGCCAGTGAGCGAACCGGCCATCCCTATGTGGGATCCGAACCCGGGGCCTTGGTGTTATCAGCACCGCACTCTCCCGAGTGAGCCACGGGCCGGCCCAGAACTATTAGCTTTTCAGAGTATTGATTAA